TAGTTGGAGAACAGCTTAAAAGAAATTTTGATGTCCGAGAGGTATACATTTAAAATTTAGTTACAAAACCATGTGTACATATAGGTGTCCTTGTGCGCACATGCAGAGGCTCAAAAACTATAATTATATTGTCCATCTCACCTTATAGTCCTTCACTGGTATTACCTTTTTTTCCAGGAGCTAAATTCACACTTACTTAACAAACAGCCCTTTCTTGAATGTTCCTGCTAATTTTTCTCTCATCTACTGATCACTTATTAATTCTTTCGTTGGTGGGTAATGGTGAATCACAAGAGTGCTGTGACTAGATGAAAATTTCAGCATCAAACTTTCAAAAACTAAACTAAGCAGAAGCTTTTCATCACTGGTATTGAACAAATTTGATGTGCTGATACAAAACAAATTAGTTGATTATTTTAATGTTTGGGCCAATCCGTTATTAGAAAATTACAAGTGGGGGTCCTGCAGGGACATTTCATTTTCTCCTCCCCAATGATGTCCTCTTTTCCTTCCCTAGCAGCTTCCATAGCCTATCCTTTTTTCCTGTTTCCTACTCTCCTTTCCACTCACCAGCCAATCTGCCTTAGTCTTCTAGAGATTTGGGGGTGGAGTTTGGGGAGGGATCTCAGTGAAGTATAATGCCTGAGTCCATCCTCCAAAGCAGCCATTTTCTCAAGGAGGACTGATTTCTGTAGTCTGGAAAGCAGCTGTAATTCTGGGAGAGCTCCAGCCCCCACCTGGAGTTTAGCAACCCTAGTTGTGTGGTGCCAGTTGCTGGGCTGAGCTGCAGGGTGCTGGCCAGGCCAGCCTGGTGTGGGAGGCACCTTACTTTCCCACATATCTCCCTTCCCACACTATTTCCTCTTTCCTGGCTATTGGTGGCCTTCATATCTTTAACGTTCCCTACTTCCTACTCTCCTTCCCACCTACCAACCAGCCTACCTTTATATTTCCCCCCATGTTCAAGTATATGTATGTACTTCATTTATATTCCGCCATTCTCCATACTGGGGAACCAAAGCAACTTACATCATTTTTCTCTGCTCCATTTTATCCTGACAACACCTCTGTGAAGTAGGTTAGGCTGAGAGTTTGTGACTGGCTTAAGCTTCCACAGTTCCTAGTCTGAAACTCTAACCGCTGCACCACAATGGCTATTGTGGGTTGGCCTCTGTTGAACAGTAGCAAGCAGCAGGGCATTGGTGAGTCATGCAAGTTGCCGGTGGTTGCTGCTTGGCCTCGCCGTGATGCATCCGCCCTCAAAGGCCAAAACATTCCTGGAAATGGCCCTGCCTTTAACTGACAGAAACCTAGGCCTGAAGGTAGAAATAGTGGCTGAGTTCAGACTGGCAGTTTGAAGCGGGAGGGAGTCGTGTCAAAAAAGACCCAGAACAAACTGTTACGGGTTTTCTCGTTCACACTGCAGCGACTGATGCGGGAGCATAAACGCATAAGCGCACAAGAAAAATGTGGCTTTCGGTGTTCACACTTTGTTGGTGTGGGATAATCGTGCTTTCCAGGGTTTGATACCACTTTCACCTGGTATCTTTTAAACTCGGCAGGGAAGCGTTACGAGACGGGTTGAGTACAGCTGGGGAACGCCGGACAGATGTGCCCGTGTGAACGGCCCCTTTAATCCAGTTGTGAAACGTTTCTGAAACGTCCCTATATCAGGGCAAACTGCCAGTCTGAACTTGGCCAGTTTTATGGTTGCCTAGCAGTGGCCACTTAAGGGCATTTGTGTATTAATGCTACAGGTGGGGCTTCTATAATTTTTGATGGTTTACCCCCCTCCCATTGAGATTTCAAATTTTTCTGCAAACCTGGGGCTTTTCACAGGTTTGTAGAAAGATCTATCTTAGCTGTCCATACCCCAATCTCCAGAATTATATATCTATAGATTGTGCTTTTTTGAGCATTAGGTATATTGATGCTATGAATAATCTCTACTGCTAGAAATCAGTGGCTTGGGTTTAGCAATAATTTCTGCTGACGGAAAGGATGTCAGTCAGTGGAGTGAGACTTCCCCAATGCTCCTCACGCTTTAGACCCAAATCCCCACTCCCCAAATCCTGAGAGGTAGTCTTGCAGGCCTGCAGCTGGAACGGGCAATCAGCGAAGATCATCTCCCGTCTCCATTTGCAGAAATCCACTGGATCCAAGCCAGTGTTCTCTCAATGGTAATTCCCAGCGGCCTCAGGTTCCCACTTATCTCCATCAGAATGAATGTGGATTGCTTAGCTCTCCAAATAATACTGGTACATGCTTCAGGGGCAGAATGTTATGATTCATATAGTATAGCTGAAATTGGCAAATTGGAAAATAAGTGCATTGAGTTTGATCCAGACTAAATTGGCAACTTCCATTGAATTCTCCCTTTCTGTTGCAGACTCCCCTCATGTTGTTCATCAGGGGCCCCTATCCCTGCAACGTTTTGTAGAGATCATTGGATTGGAAGGGGGCAAGGCCAGAATGATCTGTTCTGCTGACTGAGCATTTAGTCTGGATCTAACCCATTAGGCTTTTCTGCTGCTTTGAGGCCACCTTCATTTTTCTGTATGATACCAGGCACAAAACGTTAGACAGTAAATTCTGCTTTCCAAAGATATCATTAATTTCCAGGATTCTGGTGTTTGAAAGACACTGAAATATCAGGTGGGTAGCGTGTTGCTCTGAAGCAGCAGAACAAAGTTTGAGTCCAGTGGCCTCAACAAAGTTTTGTCCTGGGCATAACCTTTCGTATGCATACACACACTTTGTCTTCTTCTGCCACTGGACTTCAACTTTGTTCTACTGAAATATCAGTGTGTGAAAATTATAATGATGTTCTTATTTTCCTAAGATATCATTAAGAAAGGTCTAGGTTTAAAAATTTTCAAAGATTGCAAAAATCGCATTAAACTTTAGCTGTCTGTCTATCATCTAGACCACTCTGCCATGATTTTCTGTCTCTATAATATTTTAACGGTTTGTTTGTTAATTGGGGATCCAGAACCACCTGCTACCGGTCAAAGTCACTTAGATTTTCCATACAGGTCATTGGTGTGGATCCTTCAAAAATTGATTCCCAGGGTCATGGGACTCACATTGATTAACGACCATGTAGGTGAGGAAGGGAGAGAAAGGTGAAATAGCTTTTTTGCATTGATGAAGCTGGTGCTTGTGGAAGAGGAGGGAGGGGGGGTGAAATCACACACCCTTCATGTAGTTTCTTCCAGATCCATTGTTGTTATTAATATATGTGAATGCCACAACCCTGGGAATTAAGTTTCTGCTGAAGGGAGGGGAACACAGGAAAGATACTTGTACCCATGGATTGTAGGTTTTGTCCCATTGTCAGTTTAATTGCATGTGCATGAATTCATAAGGCTAGATCATATGTTTCATCCCTCTCACAAAAGCAGCACTTCTCACATGGGATTTCTACCAGTTCACCCCTTCTATTGTAGGCGCTCCCATGCTTTCCCCAGTCCCTGTGAGCAAAGTTTAATACAGATGTCTACCTCAGAAAGGGATAGGTAGGAAAGTTCCATTCTGCAAGTGCTCTTGTGCCCACAGTGCCTAGGATAAAACATAAGGAGATAAGTGAAGGGGAAGTTGGTGATATAAAATATTTAGCATATTGACTTTAGTGGGTAAGTTTGGGCAAGAGATCTTCGGGTTTACTTCCCTTAATAATGGGGCTATCAGTTTTAAGCTCTAGCGAGCCATCTGACATCATTAGAGCCAATGCTCCCTTTAAGCTGTGGAGTGTTGTGAGCAAAAATTCTACTTTGTGAGCTACTGACATTAAAGTTGTGAGTGAGCAATTTGGCTACTGCATACATTAGTTTGCTCTGGAGCCATCCTTCCTGAGCTAAGACAACAATGTGTGAGCTGGATGCCAAAAAACTGTGAGCTAGCTCACACTAACTCAGCTTAGAGGGAACACTGATTAGAGCTCATTGATTGGCCTTGCCAGGGAATCCAGTTTGTTGTTGTTGTTCAGTCGCACAGTCAAGTCTGACTCTTTGCGACCTCATGGACCAGATCATGCCAGGCCCTCCTGTCTTCCATCGTCCTCAGGAATTTGCTCAATTTCATGTTTGTTGCATAGGGAATCCAGTTACTATGCATCTAATATCAATCTTTTGTAAAGAGAAGATATAGTTAAAAGCATCTTAAGTTGTAGTGAACTACTAATAATGTCTTTTTTCTGCTTAAGGTCATTGCTAGAATTGTAGATGGAAGTAAATTTGATGAATTCAAGGCCTTATACGGGGATACAATAATCACAGGTATTATGTTAAAGTAAATTATGTATTATAGAACTGCCCTCCACCTTTATAGCTGTATTTGTTTTGCATGCTGAATTTCTGTGCTGCCCATTAAAATATTTTACAGTAATTTGGGGGTAATAGATATTTGAATTTTTAAGAAGATTAGAGCCAGAATACTCAAACAATTTTTACAAATATTAGTGAAATGTTGTAGGTTTTGTGCCCTCTAAGTTGTAACTATGAAACAGAATCTTAACCTTGGTGGAGGGACACACATTCAGACCTATGAAATCTCTGGTACCAGAATAATTGGTGGAATTGATATGGCTATACCTATGGCCCATCACTAATACCAGTAATACAATTACAAATATATAAGGAAACAACATCTGGTTTTAATATATGAGTACTTAAGATCTTGTATATTCATCTAGTATATGAATGTGTGTCTATACTATATTGATAATTGTGACCACTGAGGAAGGCCCTTAGGGGCCGAAACACGTTTGGTCTTCAGTAGGAAAGTGTTTACCCATCATATGTAATAGTATTGGATAAGTTTTTATAAGTCTGATACTTAGATAAAGATTTTTATCAGTATATGTTTTAACATATGTACACCCTAATAAATATTTGTACTTTTATAATATACATTGTTAGCTTAGCCCTTTTGTTCACAGTAACTATGAAATGAACATGCAGTTTCCTCTTCGTACTTTTCATTTTATTCAGGATTCGCTAGGATATTTGGTTACCCTGTAGGAATAATTGGAAACAATGGCGTTCTTTTCTCTGAATCGGCAAAGAAGGCAAGTATAACCCAGAAAATCACTAAAGCTCTGATTTTCTGGTCTATTTGTTGATGAGAACCAAAAGAAACTAATAGACTGAAAGCCAAAGGGGATAATTAACTTTTTCGTAATAACTGATGATAGAAAATAATGTAGGCTTGGATCTGGAGAAATTAGGGAACAGACTTTGCCAACTTCCTCTTCTTGCTGCATTCCAAGGTTGAAAGGGCCCTTTAAAATCCTTGCTCCAAGGCTAGGCTGTCTGGAGAGATGATCCTGTGTAACAAGAACAAATGCAATATGTAGAAATGTTGAGTCTCTATATTGATCACGTGTTTCAGTTTAGATGTAGTTCTTCCATTAGTAAAACAAACACACCATTTTGAAATGTTAGACATCTCTAGTTCAGCCTTTCTGATATTGATATTCAGAACAGCAGCAAACTGTTACCTCAGTAACTACCACCTTCCATTTGTCACACCTGCATGTGTTAGAACTGACTTTAAAGCTAATGCAACACTTTTCAGGGAGTAAGTGCTTTACATATCACCTTTTTATCAGATAACAGACCCTAATTAGGAACAAGTATTTTAAAAACCTTCTTGTCACTGCTTTGAGGGGAAATAATTAGAGTGTTATTACAGTAAGGAAAAATAACAAACTCCAAGTGTTAGATCAGTTACAATGGAGGGAATTGGGCAAGTGCAGTTTTGAGCCTGTATGCTTGTTTTTTAATTAGAAAAAAATAGTATTACGTATAAAAGGCAGTAGCTTGCTAAATACTGGCTTGGAAACACTCATTTGTTTTAACAATAGGACTGTGGAAGAGCTGTTTGTTATCTGTCAATAGATCAGCTGTCAATCTTCTATTAATTTCATAGGCGACCCACTTCATTCAGCTTTGTTGCCAGAGAAATATTCCCCTTGTGTTCTTACAAAACATCACAGGTGAGATGAGCCATTAAAGGAAAATGTGTTATTTGAAGCTGCAAACCCATAATTCAGTCAGTGTGTAGCAGTAATAGATCCATTCCTATCCCTATTTATAACAAACTTCATCTGTTGTGGAGGACTGCTGTGGAACTGGCATTAAGAAACCAGTTAATAAAAAATAGTATATTATTACATATTGTGGTATTATACATATTGTTGTAAGAAATGTATTATTATATCTCTAGTATATGAAGTGCCATAGAAATTCTGCCCTGCAAAATGATAGAATAACAAAAAGAACAAACCCTGCCCCTTAGACTTAAAACATCAAAAGTTGCTCTTACAATTCATTAGGTTTTATGGTTGGTAAAGATTATGAAGCTGGTGGAATAGCAAAAGATGGAGCCAAGATGGTGACTGCTGTGGCATGTGCCAGTGTACCAAAGATAACAGTAATTATTGGAGGTTCCTATGGGGCTGGAAATTACGGAATGTGTGGAAGAGCATATAGGTAAGTATGTGTCCCAAGAGAAGTGGTAAAAATTATTTTAGAGACGTTTGTAGTATCCCAGGTACTAGTACAGTAAAATAGGTCAACTCAGGATGACCACAAAGCCTTCTGGCTACTTATATATCAATGAGGAGTGAGATGGGCAAATGTGCCGCTGAATTAGTTCTTAGGTAGTTCTGCATACATGAGACGCATGCCACTTCGTATGTGTTATACTGTTGCAACTATCTTTAAGAGTTGCCAGGATCTCTGATAACTGGGAGCCACATTGAAGATTTGTATTGAAAATCCTAGTATCCTTGTCTTGGGGGTCAGGGCTTATGGCTCTGAAGTCTTCTGCTGCTTTCATACGTTGCAGATTGCACTGGTAACAAGAATGGTAGTGTGTGGTAGCTGGAGAAAGTAATTTGCCAGTATCAGGTATACCTATTCTATATCAGCTTATGTTCTCTCTCTTCAGTCCAAGATTTCTTTTTATGTGGCCAAATGCTCGCATCTCAGTGATGGGAGGAGAGCAAGCAGCAACAGTTTTGGCAACAATAGCCAAGGACCGAAAAGCAAGGGAAGGGAAGCAGGTAAGTGTTCTCTACAGTTAGCCTTTGTTAAGAAGATGGAATTGAATGCTCATAACTTGGTACCATTGCTTCCTGTGATTTCCTGGTATGACCAAGTCATTGGTAATATTGTGCCCAATAGCAGTAATTTGAGGACATTGAGACTGGACTGTAAGTGGAAACAGAGGTGCTTTAGAATAAGTAGAGGAAGTAGTATTCTTGCCTGAATCAGGAGATACCTTTTGCCATTCTCCCTCATTCTATAGGGTCAGAAACCAGCTTAGATGTGCTAATTTGACAAAGGATGCAAATGTATACTTGCATCCGATGGAAGAAGAGAAGCAGGAGATTCACTTTTGTGTAATTAGTTGTGCTGGTTTTGTGAGTCCATACTCTGCTAACCACAGAAACGTCTTCGGACAGCGCTGGCTCTTCGGCTTTGAAACGGAGATGAGCACCGCAACCCTAGAGTCGGATTCGACTGGCTTTCGAGCAAGGGAACCTTTACCTTTACCTTTTACTCTGCTAACTGATTAGTCTGGTTTCCAAAAGCACTTACGAATTAGTGCAAGTGCTGCTGAAGATTGGAGTCTTGATTGGCTGGAGTCATCTGGACACTTCATTACATACCTGTCTGCCTAACCTGTGTGTGTTTAGTGTCATCAAGTCACTACCGACTTATGGCAATCCTATCAGTGTCCTTCGAAATGTCCTATCGTTAACAGCCTTACTCAGGTCTTGAAAACTGCCTGACCTAGTACATGTCTTTACCTACAGTCTTTGAACTACTTTGAATCTAGATGGCAGTGCTGCTTCAGCAGTGATTAAAATGAATGTGTATGGTATGAAGGTACTAGTCCAGGTTTTAGGCTATCATGGTGTTATGAGCTTTAAAAGTTTCAAACGTCTTGCTTGTGTTGCTGCTGCTAACATTTTCTATACTCTACTTGATCAAGGCCTATGCTGTAGGCCAGTCTTTGCTGTAACATTTTCTGTGTTGTGTCTACACCATCCTCTGGTTAGTGGAGCAGATCAGTCTCCTTGAATGAACCTCCATGTTTAGAGGCAGTAAACCTCTGAATACCAGTGCAAGGAGGCAACATCAGGGGAAGACTTGGGCCTTTGTGCCTTGTTGTTGCTCCTCCAAAGGAACTGGTTGGCTACTTTGTGAGACAGGATGCTGGACTAGATGGACCATTGGTCTGATCCAGCAGGGCTCTTCTTATGTTCTTATGTTAACTTTTCCTTTGAATCTGTTCTTTGGAAATGAATTCACTGGGGATAAAAAGGGTGTTCCTTGTGAGAGCCTGCTATCTCCTAGCAGGAGTATAGAAGTATCCCATCAATGCTGACTGCAGTCCAGGAATATTTATGCAGAAAAAATTCCATTTGCCAAGAAAGTTTCCTTTACAAAATTATGTAATCGGTCAGTCCCAATAGCACCACTTCAGTGTATTTAAATATTATTTGTATTGATCTTACAGATTTAGAATTTTTTTCAACATCGAATCTATATAAATTAATATTTTAGTGTCATGAAAGTATTGGTGGTTGTTTTAATGGAGACCCTACTATAAAATATGGTCAAAAATGTCTGGTATTTTGTTAATACCTGAAGTTGGGACTTACAGCTTAATTTTCTGCAGTTAACTGAAGAAGAGGAAAAAGCCCTAAAAGAGCCAATCATTAGAAGGTTTGAAGAAGAAGGAAACCCTTACTATTCCAGTGCACGGTAAGACAAAAATAAATGCTGAATATGATCTCTGTGTTAGTACACATGGTAATTATTTTGAGTGGTAATAACACTGAAACCTCTTGCCAGTGGTGGCTGAGCTGTCTGTATGTCACAGTGGAGCAAACTAGGCAATGCATAACTTTCTCATTCTTAACCCTATACAGTTTGGGACTAGCATACCTGAAGGACTGCCTCCTCCCTTATGAAACTACCCTGGCCCCTATGGTTATCTTTGGAGGCCCTGCTTCAGGTGCCCCCACCTTCCAACATCAGGCAGGTGGAAACCCAGGAGAGGAACTTCATGGTTGTGGCTCCAAAATTCTGGTACTCTCCCCCCCAGGGAGATTCATCTGTCCCCTTCTGTTGCTGTCTTCTGCCAGTGGGTGAAGACTTTTTTGTTTCATTTGGTGCTCCCTCAGTGCTTTTAATGGTTTTAAATGTGATTTTATTATGTATGTTTTAATTTGCTAGGCATCTTGGTCGCCCTTGTGAGGGCAGAAAGATAGGATATAAATTTTGTAAAATAGATAAAATTCAGGTCAATCAGTGCTTAGTTGGATTGGATGCATTTTAGTAATTTGCATGACATTATTCATGTACAAGTAGTGTTCAGTCTTGTACATCTGTGAAATCTTTATGAGGTTGTTTATTACCCCTGTTATGCAGACAAGGAGCTGAGATTAAATGACACGAGCATTCAGTGTATCCAAATTTGCAGAGAATATGAGTTTGGATATTTGGGAACCAAGTCTAGTACTCTGTCGGCTGCACTATGCTGACTTTCGGTAGTCTCTTGGAGATAGATTTGGATTTATAAAACAACATGAGAGTAGCAAGCTTCTCAATTAATATTAGTAGAGCACAGTGCATCTGTACAATGTAATTTATGTCACTGTACTAAATCTGCATTTTATGCTAACTGCTGGTTTGTGATGATCATTTGAGAAACATGTTCAAACAACCACGTAGAGTGAAAGTAACAACAGAGTTGTCTTTTTTGATAATACTACTCATATGTTTCAAGAGCTGCTTACTATTGCTGATAGACTTCACTCAAGTTTGAATTGGCCTTTTGTAAATGTGACTGTTGTAATTTATTAGAAGGCGTTAATACATCTAAGCTTAAATGCAGAAACCTGTTATTGACTTTTCCTGTCTATATGCCAATACCAAATAATTAAGAAGATTTATATAACTTTTTAGACTTTATAAAATTGCAAAAAGGTTTTTCAGCATTCTCAATTATACAATATTGTAAAAAAAGTCCAACATAGTCCAACATAATGAATACCCGGTTATGAACTCATTTCAACTTTACAGTCTTCCTCAGATGTAATCCTATATCGTAAGGAGGTGTCAGCTTCTTAATCCAGCTCAGTATTGTAATTTCCTTCATAATATCCTGGAATAAACCATAATCAATGAAAATTCACATGTAGCTGCATGGAAATTAGTTATTTTAAACAATAATGATTTAATAATTTAGTTTTTAGAAAACTTACTTCTGGTTCCATAATAAGTGTTTATATGGGGAGCAAGCCAACAGGTTCAAAAAAGCCTCCTGGATTTTGTTGGCTGTGCTCTCCTAAGCACTATTTATTTTAGTAGTAGCAAACCAGTCCTTATTTCATTGAAATAAGGAAATTACAATACTGAGCTGAATTAAGAAGTTGACACCTCCTTACAATATAGGATTACATCTGAGGAAGACTGTAAAGTTGAAATGAGTTCATAACCGGGTACTCATTATGTTGGACTATGTTGGACTTTTTTTTTACAATATTGTATGAGAATGCTGAAAAAACTTTTTGCAATTTTATAAAGTCTAAACAGTTATATAAATCTTTTTAATAGTGTTCATATCACAGGGTTTGCTTGTGTGTTTTTCCTGTTGGATACCAGTGATCCCTCTTGTTTTGTGCAATACCAAATAATTATGCTGAGCTAGAGCAATCTGCCTTTTTGAGGGGGTGTTGCCATAGCAATTATGAATTGCTGCTGATTTGTTGTGTACCTTGATAGCAGCCTGTCTTGTGTTCTTTGCAACTAGTTGAAAAGAGATGGTCCTGAATGATGATGGACTTTACAAGTGGTGTAAATCAAGAGTGCTTCATTAGAATTGGGAGAAATAAGGTGCAATTAGATCAGCTGAGGATCTAACCTTGTGTTTCTGTTGCAAAATGTCATCTGTCTCCTTAAGGCACAAGGGACAAATGAATGTATGTATTTTCATCTTTTATTCGTGGATTATACTTAAATTAGGCAAGTTTTTTCCACGAATTAATTGCATTAAAATTGTCATCAAGCTATCTATGTTTAGACAAAAACCTTAATTTGTGGCTGAAAACAACTTTTTGTTCGTCATGTGTGCTCTTTTTTGACACAATTGCGGGAGGTCCATCAAAAATGTTTTTCTATGACCTAAAGGACTGAAATATAATTGGATTTCAACCCTGCTATATTTGCACAGTTTTGATACAAGAAACAGCACCTTTCTTTCAACAGCTGACCAAATACATTTGGAGTAGTAGGTTACTAATCTTTTGGGGGGGTTTTGCATCAAGTCACAGTTGACTTTTGGCGACCCCATGGAGTTTTCAAGGCAAGAGACCTTCAGTGGGGGTTTGCCATTGCTTGCCTCTGCATCATGACCCTGGACTTCCTTAGTGGTCTCTCATCCAAATACTAATCAGGGCTGACCCTGCTTAGCTTTCAAGTTCTGATGAGATTGAGCTAGCCTGGGCTATCCAGGTCAGGGCACTAATCATTTGTGCAAAAGTTATTTTTTAAAATTTGTGTCTATAATTACATATTGCCTGTAATTTGGGGGAAAGAATAACAGTTAGCACTGTGTCATCACCTTTTTTCTTACTCCTAAGTGTAAGAACCCTTTAGACATGTTTGGTCTGTCCACCCATGTGACACTTGACCTAACTGAAGATTAGTGATATCACTCCTTTGAATTCATAATCCCACATGTTTCCAGTGGATAAAACTCTGCGGTTCAGTTTAAACATAAAGCCAAAGTTATGGTTCAACACTCTGTAAATGAGCAATCCTTTGAATTCAAAATCCCATGTTTCCAGTGGATAAAACTCTGTGGTTCAGTTCAAACATAAAGCATAATTATGGTTCAACACTCTGTGAATAAGCATGGTTGATCCACGCCCTGCAGTCTAATTAGTTACTTCTGGGTTTTGGCAAACTGAAGTTTGCTGTTACATTCAACACAGCAACCTATGGCTTGAACATTCCCTGCAAGCCAGGATTGCAAAGAATCATTTGTTCCCAGTTACCTGGATTGCTGGTCAAGCTCAATCCCATGTCACTTGGTGTTATGTCTGAATCAAGCTGGTTGGCAGGGGTGTCTCGAATGAATGATGTCCTCCCATACTGCCCCTCCGTCTGCAGCATCCAAGGCAGGAGTGCAGAGGGAGGCCTCTGCAGCCAATGTTGGCCTCAGGTGACAACAAGCCATGCATGCTGTATCATCTCACACCATCACCCCTCACTGCTAGTTTGGCACTCCAAGCCTTGGGTTGTTTGTGTGGTCAACTAGCCCTAAGCCAAGAGGATCTGCAGGCATACCCTGTTTCCGAAGAATCTTGCCTTGAGCTGCCAAATTAGTTATCAACAACATACATTTCTGCTTCCAAAATGCATAACTGCTAGAAGAAACATTGAAGGGAACACAGAGAAGAATAATACTCATTGATTGTTTCATAAGAGTACCAGCATTTGACTGCACAAAGGTGTCAGTTGGCAGTAATAATTACTTACTTTGCACTTTAAGGATCCTAAACTAATTAGCCCCACATGAGCCAATAGACTTCCTTGTGTCCACTGATTGTCATGGAGAGAGCAAGGGCAATTGGTAGAGGTCCTACAGACTTCTGCATGTGAATCCTTTCCTGGATTAGAAACAATACACACTAAGAATGTCTGGATTATTGCACTGCACGGATCCTACTTAGTGTTTTGGGATCCGATACACAGCAGCCAATATATGGTCTGGGCTTTTGACAGTGTTAATTATCTGTTGAGTATTCTGAATGGATTAATTCCAGTCCTCTTCTTCCCTCTCTTCTCTAAAAAGCGGTTGATTCTGTCATATATGTCAGTGTAGCACGGATCCTACTTAGTGTTTTGGGATCCAATACACAGCAGCCAATATATGGTCTGGGTTTTTGACAGTGTTAATTCTCTGTTGAGTATTCTGAACGGATTAATTAATTCCAGTCATCTTCTTCCCTCTCTTCTCTAAAAAGTGGTTGATTCTGTCATATATGACAGTGTAGACACTGCTGGATGGCAGCTTATCCGTCTGTCTCGATGCACCCCAGATCTTTACATCAGAGCCCATCAATTTGAGCAAAAGGGGGGGGCAGGCTCTCGGATGGCAAAAGTTTTGTAAATTGGAGTGTAGTTAGTTTTACATGAGAATTATATCCCATTTGATATACAGGATGTCAGTAGTGAGCTCCTTGTATTTTCTAATCTAACACGTATTAACTAAAAGCTTTCATGTACAGCATTCTTAATTATCAAGAGTCATTAGCCAGATGTCTTTTTAATGAGTTAGATTAATCTACAGACAGGTCACTAAAAGGAGTTTAATCAGTTTACCTTGTAACAAACGAGATGAGTGGTGTTCTTCCCTGAGCCATTTGCTTCTTCCCTGGCCGAGGTCCTGTTATGAATTTTTTACAAGTAGAGATTTGATTCATGTTCTCACCATGAGGTTTGATAGGTTGCTTAATAATTAATCCTTTGTCCCATTCCAGAAGGCAGCTTTCACTAAACAAAGAGAGAAAGTCTATTTTACAGCGGAAAACCTCTCAAGTTGTCAATAAAATCTTTATTTGCCATAACAAACTATGGTTTAAAGGATGGAAAGGGTTTTTTTAAAAATCAAACCAAGGCTTCCTTTCAAAGGTAATTGGAAAGAGCCAGTAATACTTTCTACTCTTACAGTCACAGTTTTTTTTTCCATTTAATTTTGATATTTTGCTTAAAATATTGAAAATACGCAGGTAGTGGCAGAGGGTTGGATTCATCAGTTCCCTTTTGTTAAGTAAGGACCATGTCATCCTGTTGAGATGCTTGGAGGTAGAAGTAGGAATTAAGGGATACATTTTGGATTGGTTTAAATTGTTCCTTATGGGCAGAACTCAGAGAGCTGCTGCTAGGGACCAGTTGTCCTTGGTGAGTGTGGACCCATGCTATTCAATAACTATGTAAAGCCCTTAGAAGTTTTGGAATTTGTAGTTTTGGAATCAGTTTTTGTCATTATGCCAGTGACACTGAGCTCTACATTTCATTATTCAAATCACCTGGTGATGTTGTAGAGGTCCTGAACCAATGCCTGACTGTTGTGATTGAATGACTAAGGCAATTGTTGTGATTGAAATGGCGTCCAGGCAAGACAGAGATAATGTTGGTTGGGAAGGCCAAGGTCCTGAAGGACCAGGTGCTTCCCACTTTTGATGGCATCCAGCTGACACTCATTGACTCAATTAAGAGGCTAGAGATAATACTGGATCCAGCTTTAGTGTTGGAGAAGCAAGCTAATGCAGCTGCAAAAACAGCCATCTGTCAGCTTCACTTAGCTCAAAAGATAACATAAGAAGAGCCTTGCTGGTTTAGACCAATGGTCTATCAAGTCCAGTATCCTGTCTTACATAATGACCAACCAGTTACCCTGGAGGGCCAACAAACAGGGCATTGAGGCCTTCCCCTGCTGTTGCCTCCTGGTACTAATATTCAGAGGTATCTTCCATCAGTCTGTCTATGCCTATGGCAAGGTGCCAGGAATGCTGAAGATCCAACTCTTGGCTTCAGTCAGACAAAACACGGGAAAGTGCTTTTGTAGCTGTCAAAAGGTATTGAACAACTTGCAGCTCTGGCTAGAAGGCATAATTTTCCAGGCTGTCAGTGGACTAAAGTGCATACTGCATTACAGACAGTGGGGCTGTGAGGTCCTAAAGGCTTCTGTATCAGAACAAGTGTCTTCAGGCAAAAGTAGACTCTTTGCTGAATAAAAAAGGCAATGCTGACTTCCATCTAGCAAGGCCCCCTCTGTACTGTCCTCAGAGTTATTCACTGCTGGCTGGTGTATAGCTGGGCACAGAGTGGTCAAACATTCCTTTAGCAAGCCAGGGGCACTTCAGAGATTAGAGAAGTATTCCATCTCTGCATTTGTACTACAAGTCAGCTTCATCTTTGTTCTTTAAAAGACCTCTTTATGTGAAAACCCACAGGAGCCATGTGGGATTTCTTTTTCATATATTTCTTTTGTGGCGTATTTCAGCATGTGCTGCTACAAGGTCTGCTGGGATGCAGGCACATGCAGCGACAGAGGAGAGACATTGCCCAGGAAATGCCTTTATTATGTTTGTAGATGAGTTTTGTATAATCTTTTAATGTGCTTTAAAAATTGTAACCTTTTTGGAAAAAAAATTGCTCTGATTTTTGTGTGACTGTAGCAGGGATTGACGGGTCAGGCTACTGCTGCATGTTCATGATTTATGTGTCCTGTTCTGTAGAATATTAACACTCTGGAAGTGGGCTGCACGTTTCCCATGTAATCGGATTTAAAATATAATCTTCAAACAATTGAGAACTGAAAGCTTGAATATTTTTAGCCAGAGGAAAATACTCTGTTCAAAACATCCAGTATTTCACTGTTTATTAGATGAGTGTTCTAAAGCATTTAGAATTTTTGTTCATATGACCTTCTCTCCCCTCCCACAACTTGCTCATAATAATGTAAACTTACCTAGAGGGTATAGATGCTTTTATTGGCTTTGCAGTTGACCAGCACTCAATATTACCCACATACCAGTTTACACGGTTAAATATACAGATATTTAGAGGGTTGGAATAATTTTTCTACCTTTAAAATGGCATTAATGTCTTTAGGGGAATTTACTGTGACAGGGAATTAGTCTTCATCTGTTCAAGAATATTCTTCAATAAAGCAGATTAATGAAATGAGTGCTGGTGTGGCATTGTAAATAAATATCTCACCACTCTGAATAGCTTTGTGAGTTTAAAACTAAAATACTTCATTAACAGATGAATAATTAGTCATAATTTACATTTCCTTTTTAGTATATGAGTGTTGTAGAAAAGTTAATAACTATGGACATATGATTTGGTTAGCTGTACAGTTACAGGGAATTATACTTGGAAGTATTTCACTCTGGTATGTGCCTTGTATGTCTGTAGTCTTCCCTGATTTTGGAATATAATTCCTTGTTTGTTTAATGGTCAGATATGCATGCTTGATGTGCTTCTATGTAAGTGTCTGGAAGGGGCATAATCTACCTCAGAATGACATTAACTTTTTATGACAACAATAGGTGGAGATAGCATCAGTATAGATATTTTGAATCTGAGCATCACAGTGAGTTATCCCATAAGAAACACCCCAAATTAAGACAATGAGTGTAAACGTGCTTAATTCTTTTGTTGGATTGTGGTAAATATATTGCAACAAGTTGCAAATATAGACAGATTTGTGTTTCCCTTGCACTAAGTCATCTTGACTGTATTGCATCTTATGTTTCCCCTTTCAAAACACTTACTGCAAGGTATATGCCAGCAACCCCATCCCCCTCCAGTAATGACCTTCTTTGATCCAGTCATATTTCACATCCAAACTGGACTGTAAAGACTATCAAACATTTCCTTAGGTATTTATACCCAGATTTTATTCCCAGTGGGGGATCCAAAGCAGCTTACAACATTCTCCTCCTGCTCTTGCTTTGTTCACAGCAACACTGAGAGGTGAAAAAACAGTGGTTGATCTTACAGTAGTTCTTGCACAGTCTGCATAAGGAACTGCATTAAGTAAAACTTCTCTTCTAATATCTCATGGTGGGATGCAACCCAGTGATTAAAGCACCCCTTTTTCACTTCCTAAAGAGCTATAGGTTTGCATGTCATGTATACCTAAAGTGTAACCTTCTACTATTTGCTTTGTGTCTGTTCCAGGTTATGGGATGATGGAATTATTGACCCAGCTGACACAAGACTGGTTTTGGGTCTCAGCTTAAGTGCTGCACTCAATGCACCCACTAAGAAGACTGAGTTTGGAGTATTCAGGATGTGATTTGAAAGCCTTGGCATCTCTGGACTATTATAGTATGGTTTTTAATTAGCATATGAAATCAGAAGAACTAAAAAAATAAAGATTTGCACAATGGCATAATAAAAAAAGATTTGTAAAATAAAGATTTGCACAATGTCATGATTCAGTTTTATTTGTGTATGTTTGTTAAATGGAACCTGTTTGGATTGTTGCATGATGGTGATTTAATCATCAGTCTGGCTTGTATAGTAATGGGAGGTTTTAGAGGTAAATGGAAATATATAGTTCTCAACATGGCCAAATTTGTGGATACTTAAAGCCAGAGATTGAAGCCATGAATAGACGAAATCTATCGATCTACAAACTCGAACAAAGCCTCCAAACTCTCACTGCCACGGGAGCTCACTGAGTGAACTTGGGCCAGTCACACATTCTCAGTTTAACCTACCACAGAGTTATTGTGAAGATAAAATGGAAGAAAGGAGAATTGCTATAAGCGGCTTTGTTTACCCATTGTGGAGAAGGGGTATAAATGAAGTAAATGAAGGGGTATAAATGTAATAAGCAGAAATGAAGTAAATACACAAATATAGCAGAATATGGGGGTAGGTAGGTTTGTGGGAAGAAGAAAAAGGGGGAAGTTCGAATATGAGGGCTGCCAGGAGGAAGGAAAGAGGAAACAGCGTGGAGAAAAAAGTTAGATACCCTCTGCAAGTCCTTGCTGATTCCATACCACACAACTGGGCCCATCCAACTTCTGTGCACTGGGAAGGAGAAAAGGAAACAGAAAAGAGGGAAAGGCTCTGGGAGCTTTCAGGGAAGGGAATGAGAAAATAATGGGGATGGGGAAATAAGGTCCCCCAGCACATCCTTGCAGGTCCCCCACTTGTCTTTAAATTCCTGTATTAATCTATTAAACTACTGACATCAAATCCTTAAATGTCACTCTGGCACTTTTCAGCTGCTACTTCTTACCATATAATCCATTTTTAATCTAAATTATATAAAGTATTGGGACATCAGACAGCTCACACATCTTCATTAATATAATTATCTGCTTAGTGCATACACATCTTCATATGATTAATTAAAAAGTGTTGTATTAACTGTGATTAGATAGGAAATAATGAAATTATACATCTCTGTCTCATTGCATCCCCCTCAACATACTACAATTAGTACCAGAGTAGACAGTGTCTAGCAAAGAATTGATAGATTCAGGTGGGTAGCCATGTTGGTCTGAAGCAGCAGAACAAAGTTTGAGTCCTGTGGCACCTTTTAAGACCAACAAAGTTTTATTCAAGGTATAGGCATGCACACTTCTTCAGATACAGTCAAACAAATCTTTTTCAACCATTAGATATAGGTGGGGGGGAAAGATTGAGTTCATTTGCAGGGAGAAATGGACATACTATTCCAATGCAATGAGAGTTGCCAGATGTTTGGCATTTTTGAATATCGTGGCTCTAACTGCTCTTCTCCTGCAGAGTAAGACATATGAGCAAATTGCATAGCAAGCTAGTCTTTGATCCAAGAATTCTAAATACTTTGGCCACCCAATGAGAAGGGAGCACTCACTGGAGAAGACCCTGATGCTGGGAAAGATTGAAGGTCAAAGAAGACGGGGATGGCAAAGGATGAGATGGTTAGACAGTGTCATAGATGCAACAAACATGAAATTGAGCAACGGCGGAAGACAGGAAGGCCTGGCGTGATCTGGTCCATGGGGTCGCGAAGAGTCGGACTCAACTGTGCGACTGAACAACAACAACCTTAATTTCATTGTTTACCATTCAAAATAACTCAGTGTCTGTCACTAAAGCCTAGAGTTGAGAAATCACTGTTATTTCCATTTTATGGGTAGGAAACAGAGACTGAGCAATAAGCATTCCTGAATAGGATTTTGAGTACTAGGTACAGGTCCAGCTTTATGAGCTGCCTGCTGTTCCGCATGAAGATTAAACTGTTTCTTTACAGAAATCATTGGTGAATAAAAGCAGGCCAACAAATTATTTATTTATCAGGAATAACAAGCTACTATAAGTAGTAAAAAAAAACCAAACTCCACGTGCATAATAAAATAGTCAATATATCATCCCTAATAAAACAGTCAAAAGAAACCAAAGCAATAATCAATTTAGTCTGTAATCCAAATACACGTTTTAACTACTAAAGGCCTGTGCAAATGGATGAATTTTCAAGGTTTTATCAAAGTCGCTTAGCTCTTGTTGCAACTGATGCTAGAGATTAGGACACCAACAGAGAATGTGAGTTTGATGATAGTCACAAATTCAATATGAGTAAAATTACTAATAAATTATTTGATGCACATCATTGCAAACAAGAAGGGAAGTGGTACTAGGCTAATATGTATTGAATATGGATTCATGTCACTATTGTGCACTGGGATTTTCTTAAACGTTCACATTATTCTATATAAAATGTTCCTGCTTATGAAGCTGTGATCAGTAGAAGTGACAAATTATATTTATTTCTAATAATTTTTAAATCAGAGTCTGGTAACCCTTTGCACATGCACCTTGCTTTTGGTAATAAGGAAATCATAAGCCCCTAAAACAAAAATATTCAATGGAAATAAGGCTTAAATAGCAATCGCAACAAAGAACCATAGCAATTGTTCCCTCAGATGTTACATTTCTTCTTTCCTAAGGTACGCATCCTGGCCTGAGTGAACAGACAATGTCTCATTTAACCATTCATAACACTATTTGTCTTTTAGTTACAGGAATGGACATGCTGAGTACCCTCCCCAACACTACCCATGTGCTGCAGAATTACATTATCAGCCCTGCAAGCATTTCCACAGAGGGTGGTAATTAATCTCTTCTTGAGCAGGGAATAAATTAATCAATAACCTTGATATAAAGATAATGAAAAAGGATGTATCTATACAGATTTCATGCTTCTGAGAATATTACCTCCTGTTCTCTTATTATAATGTGAAGCAAGATACTTATTTTTCTTAAAGTGCCTTCATTATAATAAGCATAGCCTCAAGCCAAAATATGCCTTGGAATAACTGTAAATGGTAGCATTCGGCTTATTGCTGCTAAAATATGCTGGTTTAAAAATGAATGTAAGTTTTATTTACAGGTTTTTGGGTTGGCAAAAGATACCAATGGGAGGATATGGAGCAAAACCATTTAACCATGAAAGTTAATGGAGTAATTTTTATTCAGTCCATAAATTACTAAGCATCAATGGTTATATTTTTATGTGGATGTCTTGTATTGTCCAGAGTAACATCTGTCACCTCAGAATAGTTGACAGATTTAAAATAAAACAAACACTTGAGGCTAATAGCCTTATAATAAGCCATTAGTCTACCTAGTATTTTCAGTGGCTTTTCCAAGGGATCAGGCAGAGAAAGGTCTTTCCCAGCACCTGCTGCTGAGACATTTTATGTGGAGATGCCAAGGATTTATTTATCTATTTAAAATATTTATGTTCTGTCTATTCAGAAATCTGCTTGAGGCAGCTCATGAATATAAAATCTAAAATCATATAACATAAGAAGAGCCCTGCTGGATCAGAGCAGTGGTCCATCTAGCTCAGCATCCTTCTTGCACAGTGTCAAATCTTCCTCTGGAAGTCCAGCCACAGGACACAGAGGCCAAGACCTTCCTCTGATGTTGCTTCCTGGCACTGGTATCCAGAGGATTACTGACTTGAATATAGAGGTTCCTTTTAGTCACCAGATTCCCTTTAGTCACCATGGCCACTGACAGACCTCCATAAACCGCTCAAATCCCATTTTAACACTGTCTATGACTGTGGCCATCACTACATCCTCTGGCAGTGAATTCCTCATTTTAATCACTAGCTGTGTAAAGAAGTATTTTCCTTTTGTCCATCCTGAATCCACTGCCGATGAGCTTCATCGGATGCCTTCATCGGAGAGGGAGAAAAAGTTCTCTTTGTCAGCTCTCTCCACTCCCTGCATAATTTTATAAACCTTTATCATTTTCTCTGCTTAGCCGTCTCCTTTCTAAACTGAGAAGTCCCATACTCTTCAGCCTTTCCTTAGAGGGAAGGTGCTCCAACCCCCTAATCATCTTGGTTGCCAGGAGAGACAAGAGTTGAATAAACAGGTAGTATTTCTCAAACTTCCAAGAATCCTGTCCACATTCTCAGACTGCAAAAGGTTAAAGGTATCCCACACAACTGGACTAATCGCCATCTTGGGACCATCCAATCCTGTTGCTGCAGCGCTAACATAGAGTCCAAATCAGAAAAGGTACAAGAGATTTTATCCACAAAGTGCTGAGCAAACTGATCACAGCAGGCTGCAGAACAGTCTACCTGCTTCCGTTGGCCAAAACCCAGTTGGTCCCTAACCATCCTGAAGAGTTCTTGCAGGTCCACACTGTGCAACTCCAATGGTGGCGGGAAAGTATTGCTGCCATCACTGTAATGGAGTAGGCTTTCAAATGAGCTGACCAATAGTACGTCAGTCTTGTTTAGACTGAGCTTCGATTTATTAGCCCTCATCCATCATATTACCTTCTCCCAGCACTTATTCAAATTTCCACAGATCCACCTAATCCCATCATTAAGGAGAAATAAAGCAGGGTGTCCTTCACATGGGTGGCAACCCCAAATCCCCTGACAATCTCTTCCAGAGATTTCATGTAGATGTAGATAGTCTCAGGCGATGTGGAAACTTTACACATCAAATACATCTAGTGTGGGTTTTTTTTAGTTTGTAAACCTGAAGCTCTTTGGCAGACGTGTGTTTGACAGTGGGTTACCATTATTATAAAAGCTTTCAGTTGGGTTGGCAATTGAAACACACAACCCACCAATACAATTCAAAGCACAGGAACAATCTGTTCATGCATCCTGACATATTTAGTGTGCAATTAGTTTTAGTTTACTGGACAAAGGTTCTAAATGAGTTGTCAAGAAAACACGTATGGAGAAAGATGTCTGACTTTGGGCTGTCTAAGCACTAGCCCAAAAGGTATTGGAGCCATCCTTCTGGATGGATCCTCCCCCACCTCCAGTCTTACAGATAACTGAACAAAGATGGTGCAGAACTTGACTCTTTGCGGTTGTTAGCATTTCTTAGCCCTTTTTTTTCAAGTTTTCCAAGTATGTCTCACACATTATCCCAATAATGCTTAC